TGGTGCAGTCCTGGGGGCACAGGGGCAAGCTGAAGGCTGGGCAGGGCGGGACGTCCCTTCTCGGGCACCCAACCATCACAGGGAGAGGACGCCCACCTACCCAATTCAGATATGTGGCTCCCTCACCGCCCCCCCCCCCCAAGGGATTAAAGGACTGTCAGCAGCAAAACCTAAAAACGATGGGTGAAAATAAGATACAAAAACTGTCAATCGCCAAAAGATTGACACCTGTGATTCTATTACACTCAGCTTTCTGTTTATCAAAGGACATTGTGAAGAGAGTGAAAAGGCAAACCCACAAACTGGGAGGAGGGACTGTAAGAACCAGGAGGAATTCGTATGGGGGGGAGGGGATGAGAGGGGATGAGAGGGGAGGGGAGGGGAGGGGAGGGGAGAGAGAGGACTCTCTTCTCTGCCCCCACCCTCAGCCCGGGCCTGCGGCCCCTGGCGCTCACCTCATCAGGTGGGTTCTTCACCTTCTGCATGTACCTTCGAACCACATCCTCAGGATTCTTACCTGCAAGGACACAGGGGGTGGGCTGGAGGCGCCCGAGTCCACCCCAGGCCGCAGCTCGGGATGGAGTCAGGGTTGGAGAGGTGGGCTTGGCGGGTGAAAGGTCGGGGGTTGCTGCAGGTGGATGTACTTGGAGTTCGTGCAGAAGGGGTCGGGGGAATGGGAACTGAGATCAGGAGATGGAGGTGAGGTCGTCAGTCCAGGAGCAAATCGGACCTGCCCGTCAGAGGGATTGTGGGGGTTAGCGGGGTTCAGTTCAGGGGCGGGGGGCGTACTTTTCTTGAGGTGCTTCTTCTTGGTCTTGCGGCACACCCCAGGCACACCCGGCACGGGCTTGACGTCGCTCTTGCTCACCGGCGGCGGGTGCAGGATAGGTTTGGGTGCCCGGGTCAGGCACACGGGCAGCCCAGCGGCGCAAAGCAGGATCCCGGTCATCCCTGGGGGCGTGGCCTGGGCAGTCAGGGGCGGGGCGACCTCCAGGCCCCGCCCACCCCGCACTTCCCACTCTTCTGTTGTCGGATGTACGCTTGGGGCCTCTCTCTCAGACTCCGCCTACCGACTTGCATCCAGGGATCTTGGGGTTCTCAGGTGGATGAGCGGGGTGTGCCCTGGGCCTCCCCCCTCAACCCCACCCCAGGTTGAAGCCAAGAAGAATGCCTTCTGCGGGCCCCGCCCACCCTGGTGTCATGAGAGAGGGTGTGTCCTCGGGGCCCCGCCCACGAGCTCATTAAGGGGTGGAGTCAAGAAGCCAACAGGTGGGCCCGCTTCCTGGCTTCC